ACCTGAAAATGTCCACCAAAGTTCACTGAACATTTCATTTGAATCAGTAAGCTTTCCAAGAAAATGATAAAGTCATTTACAGTTGTAAGTATAAAATTTAATTTAACAAAGTTAAGTCTTCAAATTGCTTGGTAAATTTGGAGAGATATAAAGAAAAAATAAGCATATTTGTTCAGGAACACAAAACACCCATTGATAAATCAATAGGTAAATTTATGAAAAAGAAGTATAATTATTTATAAGCAATGAGGGTCATAGTAGCAATAAAGATAGGTTTTAGTAACTATTGGTCATATATGTCAGATGTTGTGCTAAACTGTATTAAAATTGAGTTTCAGAGCTACTAGTTTGTAGAACACTAAGCCTCGGGAAATGTTGGGACTCCTTTAGATTATAAATTGGGTCTCTTCATATAGTTGTTCTGCTTTCACACTACACAACGGTTCTAGTCACGCCAGAGATATATGCTGATTTATTCCACAGCTCAAGGGAAGGACAGAAGATTTTTGGTTTCTAGGCTAAACCCTCAATCAGCCAGGGAGAAATCTTTCCTTAAAAGGTTGTGTAACTTGCATGTCTGTACACACTTAGGAAAAATCTCTCAATGCATACACATATGCACTCATTGTACATATACCTTGCTAACATTTGGTTCAAAATTAGTCATACTATTATGGTATATAGTTATTATTTTTAACAAATACATTTCCTATCTGATTATGGCAATAATACATATTTAAAAAGGATTTCATATAAATAATTTAAAATGCAAAAGAAATAGTAACACATACCCATTATTCATAATCATGTTCCCTTTTTTCCCTCTCTTTCCTTTTCATCATTTAATAAGAACTCAAAATCAAAACAAAATAAACAAAAACACAAACCCTGTGCACAATTTACCTCATTGTGAGTCATAGTATTTGTAAGAACAAATAATATTATATATATAATAAAATCCTAATATGCAAATCAACCAAAGGGCAGAACAACCAGTTGTTATGATATGCACTGACCACCAGGAGGCAGATGCTCAATGCAGGAGCTGCCCCCTAGCAGTCAGTGCACTGCCATAGGAGGAGTCCTGCTCAACCAGAAAAGGCCTCACAGCTGGCAAACGCAGTGGTGGTGCAGGAGCCTCTCCTGCCTCCCCTGCAGTCCAGTGGTAAGGAGCAAGGGGTACCAGACTATGAGAGCCCCGGACTGTGAGAGCCATGTCTGGCTTCCAGCTTAGGCCCAATCCCCAGGAGGATCCTGTCTAAGCCAGCAGGTAGACATCTCCTGAGGCCTCAGGCCAGGCTAAGGGAGCCCCACCCCCAGTGCATGAATGTCGTACATTGGGCCTCTAGTGTTTTATAGATGTTTTTCAAACACAACACAAAATCCAGTAAATGGTCCTGCTTCCTCTGTTTCCCATGATACCTCCTTCTAAGGCTCCCCTTACTCAATTTGGGATCAAGAAACATATTTCCATTCAAACAAAATGGCCATTATTGGTAATGCATCAGAGTTTACATAAAATATCAATCCTAATTATTTGTTGAGGGGAGGGAGACCATAAACTATAAATCTATTAGGTTCTCTAGATTTCTGTCAGTTAGCTAAATTATGACTCTTTAATTTAATATAATGTTATCAATATCCCTTACTAATGCTTGCTTAGATATGTCATCATCAAACAAATGAATGTCCATTATAGAATAGGCAACGGAAAAATTTTATTACCCAATCTAAAAGGTTATCCCAGCAATTCAAAAATGAATCAGTTTAAAGTGATTTAAAAGCTAAGCAAAGTTTTCATGTAAAATTTTTGTTATAAAACATTAAAAATAATTATATAACTATAAAATGTTTTTCTTTGAAACAGTTTCACATATTTCTCTAAAACTAGAATACTCCATTTCAGGAAAAATATTTATAAAATAAAAACTTTACATTTGTTTGTCCTTCCAACTCTTCTATACCTGAGTAAATAAGTAGGAAAGCATAAGGATACTCTTCTTAATTAAAAATCCAGAAGAATCCCGTCATTTAATTAAAAAAATTCTAAGACTATTATACTAATAGCCTTAGTGTATTTTGACATTTTCTTCTTTCATGTTTTTTTTATGTAAAGCACTTAACTCAATATAAATCAGTTACCAATTATCACTAATACAACCAGTGGATTATCTATGGAAAGGTAGATACTTTTTACTTTTCATTGTATCTATCATGATTTTGAATATTACCATTATCTTCCTTCAATCTATCCATGTACTTGGATTCCCAAACACATGGACAAAACAACAACAACAACAACAACAAACAAACAAAAAACCATTAAGAAATCCATATCACGTATTCCAGCCAAGTGTTATTATTTCCTGTGTTAGCCACGCTTTGCCAGTATTGATTTCATTCCTACACAGTGTGGACTCACAATTTTATATGATTTGTTTTTAAAAAAATGGTAACTATGAAAATCATTTTCATGATCAATAAAACAAAAGTGTTGTCCCAGTCCCAAATTAAGGGAGACCAAAGAGAGGTAAAGACCTGGTGCGGACTAAAGGGATAGAACCACTACTGGCTTTGGGGGCACCCTAAAAGGCATATAAAGTTAACACGTCTCTATAAAACACCATACAACGTTTATGTTGCCTGCCATAGCTCCTCTCCCTTCAGTCTTTCTAAGTACTGAGTCACTTGCCTCCAGGAGAGACCTGGGCAGGCTTTTGAGCCATGGCTATAAAGCAAGTCATCCATGAGGGCAGGCTTTATGGGGCAGCTTCCTACAAACCACCGATGAGCAGGGGTGAAGTTCCACTCTGCTCAGAGAGCACATTATGTGATGGCCAACAGTGCCCTGAGAATCTTGTTTGGGAGGCTAAACAAGCACATTTGGAAAGACCCAGGGCTTTGATGGGATTATTGAGAAACCCAATCTATAGCATTACAAACTAACTGGTAGTGATTTCCTCTGATAACCTAAACTACATTTCTAAGAAGTACAGGGTTTGTAAGGTCTAATGTTAGCAACAACACTGAATTCTGCCCTCCTTGTTCCACATGAACAACAAATATAAATACAAAATAAAATGTCTGATAAGATAAAGGAATATCAACACACTGATTTGTCATATATTCCAGGGAACAATTTTATGTGCATTATTTGAATATAAAGTTGCACTAATTTTTTGTTGTTGTTGTTTAAAAGTAATGGTTACATTATTTACTTTATTAGTACATTTTTTTAGGCTGGAGATTCACAATCTCCATAAATAGCGTTGGCATGAATTTCAAATTCAGATGCACTTGAAGTCAACACTGTCCTAATTAGCGAACTTTTCAGGGGACCAGGCTGTTGACTTTATGAAAATAGTTGCTATTGTGAACTTTTCTGTGATGCCCAAAGAGGCATATATATATATATATATATATATATATATATATATATATATATTATATATATATTTTTTTTTTTTTCCTAACTAGGGAGGACTGAGGATATCTGAATATGTGCACATTTGAACACTGTTTGGGATAAAGCAAAATTAATTCATTGAACCAAGCAAAGCATAAACACAATTCACAATCTCTGATGCCACTAAGAGCAATTAGTTAATAGGGTGATAAAGACGAGGGGATGGTTATGTGAGACATGAGCAGAGCAAGTACCACAGGCCATGTACAGGAAGTCCCCAGGTCAGGAAGCATAGCAAGGGGCAAAACTGGGAAAACAAGAACCTCGCCCCCAGGGTAACCTTTCCTCCCCTAGCACATCACTGGTCAGATGGTTTAGACACCCCTCCCCCGACCTTTTTCTCCCTAGGCCTCAGTTATATTTCATTTTCATAGACCTTAAAATCTTTTCTGCGTTGATAAGAAGAATCAAGACCCCAATCACCAAGATCCCAGTCAGTAAACCCAATCGGTAACAGTTATTTGCCTGTGTATTCTGAACCCTGAACAAATGTCGGGTAAGAACAATAAACATTAAAAATAAAAGGACAAAACTCTTCTTTTTTTCCTTAAATAGCAACTTCTAGGGTAAGGAGCTCCCCATTGTTTTCTATTAAACTTAACATTATATATATCCTATCTCTCATTATATAGTATTCTAAGACAGATTCCTTCAATATTGAAATATCTAAGACAGGCATATTTGGACCAGGGTAGACAAAACATATTAAATAGTTTCTAAGCAGTCTGATGATGAATATACCTTTCTAAAGTGACTTACCATTGAGTTACAAAGTCTAATGTGAAGTCGTTTATATTTTTACTTTTTCCAAATAAAAGAGTGGGGAATGAACTAAAAGAAAACAGTTGAAGTGCTAACACTAAAATCACTAATGACATCTACTTTTGACCTAATTGAGAATCTTTTCTTATAGGAAATTCTGGTATCTTTATTAATATACCAATATATATATTATTGGTTTCAAAAGGGAAGGGAGAAGGAGAGAGAGATAGAAGCATCAATGATAAGAGAAAAATCACTGATTGGCTGTCTTTTACATGCCCCCTGCAACCCTGAAACTTGAGCACCTGCTCTTGACTAAAATCAAACCTGGGACACTTCAGTCTGCAGGCCAATGCTCTACCCACTGAGCAAAACCAGCCAGGGATAATTTCTGTTGTTAAGTTTTCTCTAAGGCCACTATACTTGTGTTAGTTCAAGGGTTGTTAAGTAGGATTTATTTATTTATGTATGTATGTATTTATTTATCTTTGCTAGCCATTAAGAATTTGCTCAGTGAGAATTAGTAACTGTTCAGCTAGAGGTCTCGCATTGGATTTTGTATCATACTGCAATCCTAATTAAGAAGAAAGTGCATTGGAAGCTACTTATGTAGGATTATTTTTAATTAAGGCAAATTATTACACAGAGCTACTAACCTTTATAAATGAACTACAAATTAGCATTCTCCATTTCTGGGGGCTGTTTTATTTACCATTTAACCACAGAAACCCTCACTAGCTATAAAGGTCAAACAGAAAGCAGCCTTACTTACCATCTTCATACTGGCCAAAGCAGACTCCAAAGAAAGAACCGAGGACGATCCCTGAAGCTAACCATTTCCAGAGATAAAACTGTTGTAACATCTTCTGTCAAGTTCCACTCAAGGCTGATCTGAGATAACAAAAGGGAAGAAGAAACATTTGACAAGTTCATTAATCTGCTATAGGTAAACACCACTGTCACAGCACAGAAGAGTCTTAATGACTTCATAGTTAATTACCTGTGCCAAACTATCCATTAACGAAGTAACACACTTGTTTAACGCACTGGAACTCCTTACCACATGAATTTTCAGACAAGTAATCTCTAAGGAAAGCCAACTCCTCTGTTTCTTACTTTGAAAGCAAGTCAGTTGAGAATTTAACACCTTGGTAATATCAGAACCACAATTTCTTTTAAATTGAATCAAATGGTTAATCAGTTTATTAAACTTCTCTATAGCATAATTCAATGGTACAGTTTAAGTTGTTCTACAACAATTTAAGATGATAAAGCAGATGTTAGTATCATATATGAACATTTTATTTGGCATATGTGTTACACAATTAGCACTAATAGAATGCTAATTCCTTTTAGTATCATTAACATGCTAAGAGATTGACTTAACTATGCCAAGTAAGACTAAGCAGAAACCATCCATTTTTACCACATCTGTCTTTTGAAGCACTTGGGTGAATTTCATTTTAATTCCTTTGTTTTCCTTCGCAACCTCTCAATAAGTAAAAAGCGGACTTACTAGTCTGCTCAGTGGCCAGTGCGCAGACTAGTAAGCCTGATAGAGAGAGTGATGTGCTCAGCTTTTTGGTAAATCAAAGAAATTGTTTACACGAAATTGCTCAAAATGGCCTAGTTAATAAGGAGAGAGAAAAAGGGTGGGGACTCTATTCCTCTAACTCAGCGGTTCCAAACTCAAAAGTCTACAGGGAACAGGAAGTCAGAAGAGCACAGGGAATGAGCCTACCTAAGGGAACAACAGGATGTGAAGGCTGAGATACATTGTGGAGTGCAGGGTTTGCGTGAATGACCAGCCTGTGTGCAGCCTCTGTCAGAGCTTTTCATGTGGGAATGAACACCAGTGTTGCCAGGTCTTCTGATTTTCCAGAAGATGGTAGAAATCCAAAGTTAAATGTGAGATTTCTCAGTGTTTAGGTGATTGTCCATTTCCTCTTTATAAACTAGATGTTTCTGGCAGGCCATATTGTTCTCTGAGTCCCTTCAGTTTGACACTCCTGCCCAGGATTTGCTCTCTGAGACTAGTTGTGGATAATGTGCATTAGAATGCACAGAGAAAACATTTTCATTCTGCTTTTACATGCATTTTATTTCATTCATCATAGGGGTTTTTCTGTGTGCTCCATAAAATTTATTTGCACAGTAGCATATATAAATATAAACAATTAAAATTATTGTAAATGTGCAGGCTCAAATTCTTCCTACTCACGGGACATACTGTCCTTAAATTCAAAAGGTCACTGTACTAGACCACACACATTTTACAATGAAATCCATTCTTCTTGTGTCTTTTTAAAAAAATAAAAACCCAAGCTGGTTTGGCTCAGTGGATAGAGCATTGGCCCACAGACTGAAGGGTCTCAAGTTCAATTCTGGTCAAAGATTCTCTCTCTCTCTCTCTCTGTTTCTCTCTCTGTCTCTCTGTCTCTCTCTCTCTCTCTCTCTCTTTCTCTCTCTCTCTCTCTCTCTCTCTCTCTCACACACACACACACACACACACACACACACACACACACAAACACGCACACTTTCTCTCTCTCCTCAAAATTAAAAAAATAAAATAAAATAAAACCTTCGTTTTACCTGATCCTCATACTGTTTTTCACTCTAACTGGTAAAGGACTGAGCCTCTGCTTTTATAACTTCTAGGCACAGTTATCACAAAGAAGAGCCCACCTTTAGATATTAAAAGACTATAACAATCCAAGCTTAATTGAAAGTAAAATAAAAATAAAGTAGATCAATGCTACTGGTTGTTGGAGTCAGTGAATTAGAGTAAAGCTTCTTTTTAAATTCAAGTTCTTCAGCTTAACTATTATGTGACTTTGAGCAAATTAAATAGCATTTATGTCTCATTTTCCTCATTATTACTGCAGAGATAAAAAAGTACCTACCTCATAAGTTTGTTTCGAGGATTAAATAAATAAATGGCTATAACTACATGCTCAAAAGAGTGACTCAAACAGTGAGCACTCCATAAACTTACTATGAGGGTTTTTGACTCAGCATCTATGGACTCTTGAAAGTGCTTTAACATATATTTTCCAATCTGTCTGTAGCATAGCTTCTAAGGTTGTATCATAACTCCATTCTGTGGTGGAAACATCATACTCTCTGACTCAAGATTACAAAATGGTGTGTGCCCAAAGAAGGGGTGCGGATTACGAGCTGATACCTCTGCTCATTACAGAAAAGAATGGAAAACTTCTAAGAGAATATGTGACTCAGAAGGCTTTAAAGGTTAAGGAAGTCTTATAATATAAAGTCTGCTGTATTGCTTCCCGGTACCTTAAGGGAGGGATATTGCATTCCTCTTTCCAACCAAGAGTATACTCTGCTAAGTTTATGCAAATAATGACTTCAACTCCTTATTTTAAAAAAAATATGAGAATATTAATAAGCAAACTATAGTATTTAAAATAGAAAACAAAAACAAAGAGAAAACACTTAAAGAACAATTATTCTTTTAAAAAAATTAAGGAAAAGCAATATCTTACCAAATGACAAGAGTGTTACTTTGTGGATCCTTTGACTATCAACTTGATTTCCTAACGTATCAGTTTTGAAGTTCACACCGTATATGTTCCCTACTAGATAAAACTGATGTTCATTTCTCTGACATTCAGAGTTCTCAGAAATTCATTTATTCAACAAGCATTTATGGAGAGTCTCTGAGGTACCAATTACTCTTCTAGGTCAGTGAAAAATGTCAATAAAATAAGCCCACTCACATATATTTTCTCATGAATCTAACATACTAGCAAAAGAAAGGAAGATAAACATAAACAAACCAGTTACATAACAAGTTAAAAGGTAATCATTGCCATAAAAATAGCTGCTTGCATTTTTAACTTTATAATACCACTTCACAATTAATTATCATTCAGAAATTAAGATTATAACCAAATTAAAATGCTTTCTCATACTAACCTAACTAAAATTTTTCACAAGAAAAACATATCTATTCCCACAACTCTAGCTGAAAGCACCTTCAAAGACATCTACTGCCCAGAATACAGATTGCTGCCCACCCCTTGGAAGGAGACTAGGAACATACATGTTCTGCCCTTGATGTGGTTATCCATGCTCCCTGCTGGATTGGTCGCAGTGACACATGGCAAAAGCAGCCAAGGTTGACATCATGGCAGTTTTCCCTTTGGCACATTTTTTACAATGTCAGCATTTTTTCCCCAAAGAATGTCTCTGACTGCTATGTGAATAACCACTAACTTCTTTGATATATCAAAGTTTGGAGCCCACTGCCAATACTGTGAAGAGAAATCCCAAATCAATACCATGTCAGGGAGCAAGCTGGAATCTCTCAGGGAAGTGAGAGCTACACATATGCATCTGCCCTTCAACAATCTGTTCAGTCATACTTTGGTACTTCCAATTTCTACCATCTAGACAAAGCTATTTAAAAAAAAATTATTCCTGGGCACTGTGGCTCAGTGGTTAAACCAGGAGGTCATGGTTCAAGCCCTGGTCACAGCACATGCCTGTGTTCAGGGTTCCATCCCCAGTGTGAGGCGTGCAGGAGGCAGATGATCAGTAATTCTCTCATCATTGATGTTTCTATCTCTCTCTCCTCCTTTCTCTCTGAAATCAATAAGAACATATTTTTAAAAATGTAATTTGTAACTGCTCTGAATTTCTTGGTAGAAATGTATACTAACTACCAGAAGAAAGCAAACTTCCTTTCAAAGCAGCCTCAATTATCAAAGAGAAGGCACAAGGCTTCCCAAAGTCTTCACTTCTCACCACACCAAATATGAACTTTCATAACTGAAAGTTAGGAAATCTTTCTTTTACCTGACCACAGTGGGAAACTTCAACAATGTTTCATGGCTACAGAGAATAGGTATCACTCATAAGAATGACCTGACAAATCATCTTCTGTTTTTTTTTTTACCTTTGCAATATAAACTTCAAGAAAATAAAATGCCAAAGATTCTTTCAGATATATTCTGTCTTTCTAGATCACTTTATATTTTCTTATAATAGTTTTATATAGATTTATATTAAATATCTCTATTAAAATGTTTATTTATAAATTATTATATATCTAGTACTTATCTGGCCTTCTCACCCAGTGCTGCCTCACTGGCCACCCTCCAATTAATTTCCATTCAATGTGCATGAATCCATGCACCAGGGCACTAGTTTATTATAATATGAAATATATTGTATTTATAAAATACATTGTATTAATATAATATAGAATGTATAATGAATATACTTGCAAATAAAATAAAATGCAATAAAATGTGTTTTATGTAACTTTATATTACATATTTACACATACACTCTACATGTAAAGAGATATATTTAGATTTTATTTATAGTACACATATAAATATTCTTGTTATTCCCTAGTCATATATTTACTTTAATCATGAGCTGAATTATACTGTAAAGACAGAAATGGCTAGATTGTAGATAATTCTAGATAAATACAGAAAAATAACAAAGTTTTTCATTTGGCACTGTGAAATCTAAGTACTTCTCCAGTCTGTCCCAGACTGTCTAGGCTAGGGTTATCTCACATGCCATGAGTGAGCCTTGATTGGTGTCCACTTTCAAATGTATATTTATTTGTAGTTCTCTCTCTCTCTCTCTCTCTCTCTCTCTCTCTTTCTATATATATATATATATATATATATATATATATATATATATATATATATATATATACAATACTGTTTATAGACAATGTGTTGCATTTCAGCTTTGTGCATGCATTTTAAATACATACTCAATAATTATAAACATTAAATGAGATTGATTTAGGTTAAAAGACATTTTCTGAAACCACATGATACACATAAAGAGAGTACAAGTTCAGAAATTCTTCTACAAATTTTGGTGGACCTCCGGAA